AGTGGAGTTGCAATTAAATAAAGGATGAAAAATAATTCAAAATATCTGCAAAAATGTAAAGGTAGCTAAATGTAAATAAATTGAAATATAAATAAAGGTTTTATAAGATATGTATTCTAAAATTGTAGCTAGAGATTAAGGACCAGCCACAAGTAAGTAGCTGAGAAAAGGGATAGCTACAAGAAAGTAAAATCTTGAGATTCATGCATTTGTTCGATAAAGAAAATAAAATAACCACTACCAGAATATCAATGAACAAATTAACTATTAAAAAGTAATTAATGTAGTTGAACAATAAATAAAGTAACAAATATAAACAACTACAAAAATATAAATTAAAACAATTAATGTAAATGTTAGTGCAATTAATAGGATTAGTAGAGTTTATTGTTAAATAACTATACCAAGAAAGTTGTATATTGCAAATCAAGAAAAAATAAATGAAGTAAAATGTAATGAATGCAAAATTATTAGATATTCAAGATTTTGAAATTAACTGAAATGTTAGTAAAGTTAGTATCAAAGAAATTGTAGAAACTTGAAAAAAAAAAGAAAGGTACATAAGATTTTTTTAGAGGTTTGATAGAAACCTTACCTATGCCCTCTACCTTAAACACCTTCAAAGGATTTTCACCAACAAAGAAGTTAGGTTTCTTAGAATGGTAGTCAAATTAGAACACCTACCTACACACAATGATATTACAAATATAGCATAGTTGCATGATATAAGAGCCTTTTGAATAGGAAAAAAAAAACAATATACATCTCAAACTATTCATTTATAAGAGTATGGACTAAAGATGTTTAGTTTAATGAAGAGACCCACAATGGATGGGTAAGACTATATAAGCTCTAGGGACTCTCAACTTTTCTTACTAATAAAACTATTAAAGCTCATAAGTCTCTTCAAAGAAAATAAAGTTTCTTGCTATCATGCTTTCAAAAACAATTAAAGACTATTTACACTAATAGCACAAATAGTTCTTTCTTGAATAATTCTCTTTTTCTTCTTCTTTCTTATGATTGAATCAAGTTAAATACCTCTATTTATAATGGTTTTGAGAGGAAGTAAGCATCAAAGTAGTCTTTAAGCCTTGTTAAGTATTATGAAAAATGCATCCTAAGAAACTAATTAGATCAAGATCCTAAAAATATGACTCTTAGGCTTGGCCTTGATGTAGTTTCTACTTTGAGTAGCAATAAAGACTTTGAAACTTTTGCTTTCCTTTGAGCACCAACATTGGAGATATAGAAGATGATGTTGAAATAATGAATATTAGGTAGCTAAATCAAAAAATACTTTCACATCTTCTTCTTTAATAGCAATTTGCTTAATACAATTGTTTCTTAGAGAAGATTATTTTAGTTGAATACTTAATACACCATTAGTACTTACACATAGGTTCATTATTCTCCCCCTTTTTAATGATTACAAAACATAGAAAAAAAAAACAACAAAAAATTAAGCACAAGTTGAAAGTAGAAATTAATTCTCTTGAATAATATGCTACATAGACATTTTAAATCACTTTGCATTTTAAATCATTAGGATTCTTCAAAGGAATTCATCAACATTTATCTTAATTGATGATGTTATTTGGTGCAGTTGAACACTTGTATTCAAACTGTTACTGTTACTAAATTTGTTATTATTAAAACACATAGGGACAATAAGTTATGGGTTCATGACCCACTACTTTTAGCTTTACAGATTTTACGGTTAGCTATATATAATCTTTAGTGTCAATTATTTAAATATATTACTTATGGTTTAATTAAACTACTTAAATGCATCTTATGGTTTTCAAACCCACTTAAATATACCTTGTTAGATGACTTTACTTGACATAAATATACTCTTTATTAGTGAAACATTTTTTGCAATTTTGCATGACATCATGTAACTATTACATTTTATTGTAATATTAGTTTCACACCGTGTCATAAGTCAAGTGTGTACTTTGTTGTCAAAACATTCAAAAGGATTTTGTTTTGAATCCTACATCATTAATTTCTAACATTTTAAATTAACAAATAAATTTCAATATTTTATGGTGGAAATCTGTTACAAGTAATAATCACTAGATAACAGGAAATTAACCACAATGAAGAACACAACCTACTCCAAAATTTCTAATATTCACTGTTTTAAATAATTGACTAAACATGTATAAGTCATAATAGATGGTAAGTTGTCAAAAGAAAGCACACATGCCATTGCTTAATTTTTCCTCTCTTTCTTGCAACAGAGTCCTCTTTAAAAGTTAAAACCCTCAATAGGCTTTACTTTTTGAAAGTAATTCATCATCTACAACTAGAGCTAACTTTTGATACTCTATTTTAATGACTTCCTTGTGCACTTTTGTCGCTTCTTTTATATTTTTCAAAATCTACCCACTTGCCATGGGTCATATTACAATTTTCTTCTTTTTTCTCCATTTCATGATAATCTTTTTTTCTCCTTTTTTGTTTTTGAATTCATAACATATATATACATGTTTAAGAAGGTAAGGTCAAGGTTGCCTTTAGGCAGATTTTTTGGAATAATAATCAAGAGCATATTTTGAAAATTTTAAAAACCACCAAGGACATTTTTATTCTTTATTTTTTGTCAATCTTAATCGCTAAATGCTTTAATAACTATATTTAGGAGTGATATATATATATATAATATAATTTATTATATATATTATAATAGATTATTATAAATGTAACATATATTTATATTTATATATAAAATGCATATAAATTTTATATACCAGTTGGTTTGGTTAACTATTAGTTTTTCTTTTAGGTTAACTAAAACTAAATTTACACAATAAGATTGTGAAAAACACTAAATCAAAACCAAAGTAATTGGATTAGTTAAATGGATATTTGGTTGGGTTTCCTTTGTTCAATTTGGTTTTTTGATTTTTCAATTTTTGTTGACATCCTCTAACTATTTAGTAGCTTTAGAAACCACAACATATATTTGAGTGTTTAGTAAAGTGGAAAGGTATATTTAAGTATTTAACCCTAATGTCCAAACATAGTTTATTTGTAGCGGCACTAGGTATAGACCTAGATTATCAATATATTGAAAGATAATCATCTAGTGATAATTATGTGCAAAAAATCCAACAAATAGAAATGGATGAAAATAAAAGATTTGTAGAATCCTTACTGCTAAAATCCACAAAGTGAGAAATCGATTTTTATCATTGGATCATTTCAGATTGTTGGAACAAGAAAGATAAAATATTTGGATCAAGAGTAAATGTAGTATCTAATTATGATGTCTACAAATGCAAAGTTCGAAGTGGTGTTCATCTTCCATGATTAATGGATCCTTTATTAAGGAATTATATAATCCTATTGCTAGCAGATTTAGGAAAACAAAAAGGAAGCTTTAGAAGTATTCTTTATGTTTTAACATAGTAGCAGATCGTATTACATTAATCATCAGTTGATATACTATCATTGAATATCCCAATATATCCATGTATTTGACCCCAAAAGGATATCACTAACTGACATATCAGAGATAAACATCTCTGATATCAATATCAATTCTTGGAATAAAAAATAATACCTAATTGTTCCACTTGTGAGGAAGTCTAGGAACATTTTGGGTTTGGTCTAGTTCAATGTTTGTTGTAAACACTCATCCTACACCTAGGGTCAATAATCTGAGAAGTTGAAACCCACTATTCCACTATCTTGGGCAATGTAAGAATGACAACCATGTTAGAAAAACCTAATGATACAAGAAATAAATATTCTTTTATCTATAACAAAATATACACAATAAATATTCTTTTATTAACCACAAATATTATATAATCTTTTTCCTTCATTTTTTTCTTTCTCTTTTCACATACAACCTCAAAAGGAATTCTATAAGTAGCTTTTTTTAGGGTTGGCCAATGTTAAAGTTGTTTAAATCTTATTTGAACCATGGTCGGGGTAACACTAGTGTAAAGGCATTTTCTATTCATGTGTACAAATAAAGATAAAAAGGGTAAAAACAATAAAGATGAATTTGTATTTAGATTTAAAAATCTTAATTCCATTAATTGGATTTAAAGATTAAAATATTTGGATAATTTTCATTTGTATATATTAACCTTATATGGTGTTAGTAAGATATTCTGATTTATAATTTATTTTTGTTGTATTTATATATATATAATAATGTATCATATTTAGATATTCACTATTTTAAAATGCTAAAAAAGGGTCCAATACAAATGTATCTAACAACTTAATACTAGGTTTATTTTGTTACAAATAAATTTTGTCAAATTTTGCATGAAAAGATTTTCCTAGTTAGGTTAATTATAATTTATAATTACTGAGAAAATCGTCAAAATATTATATTAAGTTGTTTGAATATATTCCTTTAATTTGCCCTTTCTCATTTATTTTCCCATAGATAAAAAACAAGGTATATGGCTTATGTTCACATCAAAGCTTCCAAAAGCCCATCAAAACATGCAAGCTAGTTCTATCCTAAAAATCAGTCATTTGATTATGATTAACAAAAGAAATGTTCATAGTTGATGATTATAAAACAATGTGACATAACATTTGAGTCAAAATTTAAACCTAAGAATTAATTTGTGTTGTGTATAAAGTTATATTTAAGATAGATTCAATTCAAAATATCATGTGATAATTTTGTTAGGTCAGCTTATTAAGGTTTATTTTTTCTTATTGATAGTCCTAGTATTTATTAGGTTGTAATAAATATATTCTACTATATTATGTTTTCAGTTGTTAACAAAAAATGTAGGTTGTGTTTTCTACCGTCTTCTAATATTGTTAGGCTGTAAGAAATGCTTTTGTACGGTAATGGTTGTTTTGCTGAGATTCTCACTAGGAAGAGGAGGTGCCACATGAATATTTTCTTCACTAGTAGTCACTAAATGTCATTGGCATATGGTTATTAGGTTGCAATTTAAAATAAATGTCTATTGGTCTTACCAACAAATAATGTAAGCATCATTGTTGGACAGGTTCTAGTTGGAAAATTTCCAATTAGGAGGGTAGGAGTGTGTGCTGAAGCCATTGTGAATGGAGCATGCTGTGGAGAGAGATACGTGATCGAGCCATCTTGGTACAAGATGTTCATAAATTTCCAATTCTTTTGCCCTGAGATTGTTGAATGGTTCATTGTTCTTTGGTTTTATATAACTAAATCAGACACCTCTTAGATGACAAATGGAAGGAAAAAAATTCTCGAATGCCAAAGAAATCAAAGTTCCTCCATCCATTATGATTTCAACAATTTAAGCATATAGTGTGTGTAATAAAATAAGGTTACTTTTAGATAAGGTTTTACTTTTTGTTTTTTAGAGTATAAAAGCACTATGTACTTTTGTGGCTTAGTAATTATTGTTGTCAAAACGTGACTTTGATAAAAGCATAAAGAAACAAGTGTTTGGTTATACCTTGTTGTTATAATATGTGTGACATGATAATTTTCATATGTCAACTTGTTATTTGTTAAAATTTATAATATAAAAATATCCACATATAGCTATGCAATATACAAAATAATGTCATCTGACATATATTTTGCCATAAATGTGGACACCAAACTTGGCATATATGTTTTCATGTGTAACTAATTTGATAGATGACATATATTTTGTTATATTTACAAATTTTCTACATGGCATAATATATGTCGTATGTTAGTGGCATATATTTATGGGCATAATATATGCCACATGGGCATCCTGGCATATATCGTTCCATATGTTGAAAAATTTTGCTACATGGCATATATTTTGTCATATTCACAAATTTTCCACATGCCATATATTTATAGATCTGATGACCTATAATTCTGTCATGTGTTACAAATTTTTCCATGTGACATATACATTTACACCTTAAAATTTTTTACAGTTCAAAACATAAAGTAAAAAATCATGATTTCATACTTTTTGTTACACAAGTAATTCTACTTTAGGTGTTTCTACTTTGAAAAACACATGTTACAAAATTCTAAATTTTTTTTTTGTTGCTAAAACAGAAAAGTACTTCAAAAAAGCTTATCCAATCATAACCTAAATCTTGGGTTGGGTATTCTTTGTAAGATAAATCTTTAATTTCAACAATAAATTAAATCTTTGGTTGGATATACTCTTTATAAATCTCATATTGAGAGATTTATGTTTAAACTATACCTTTTTATTAATTATAAAAATGTAGAAGGGAACATTTTTGAGATATCATTCTTTATATTAGACTAGTAAATATGCACATGCATTACATTTGGAGATTTCATTAAACAAAAATAATTTCAATATCCTATTCATAATCCATTAAAAAAAGATAAGTAATCAATGTATTAGTGGATTTAAATTTTATAATTGATATTTATTGTTAATAAAAATATTTCTTATTTATTATTAAACAATATTTTATTTTTATAATTCATCGCTGAAATTAAATGAAACCATCACCTACCAAAGAAAGAAACATGGAAGTGATGGGCCTCTCATGTTCAAGAAAGCAAACATCATTTACATACCCAAATTACAACTCTTCTACTAGGTGTTTTAAGGGGGGAGAGGGAAGTTATTAGGCATCCCTCTCCCATAACTTGCATGTAGTACCAATTTCTCAAAAAAATGAACAATGAAAAGAAATATGAACTTGAAGACTTTTAGTCACCCCTATGTTGAAATCTTCCCATATTAAGAAGATTATAAGCAATATAAACAATTCAACCACTAAAGCCATTTCAAAGAGTTTCATTAGAGCAAGGAGAGGTTGAGATCTCTTCCCCCTTTCTTTTTTATCCAAGAACACTTTTACAAGAGTAAACTCCCTTAAAAAATTTTATGATTGAAGCAAGGAAGTTGAGATGTCTCCTCTTAACTCATTTTTATCTAACCTTAGACTCCTTACTAGCAAGAAAAATGGGTTAAATTATTAAAAAGTCACATTAATTTCATAAGAAAATCTTGCATTAGCGACTTTACAGAAAGAGGAAAACAAAACATGTCTATTGGAAAAGGCATGCCACAAAAAAAGGAGAAACGTATATGGAACTTGAACGAGCAAAGTGAAAACATATTATTTTATAAGGCTATATATTATAAGCATGAAAAGGAAATTTCTAATCACCTTAAGAAGAGAGTCTAATCCGTGTAATAGTCAACAACAAAAAGTTAACAAGGCAAGAACAATAAATTAATACAATCAATAAAAAAAAGATGGGGTTGGGGGTTACGAGTTATCCCCATTAATTCATTCTAGAATAACTGATGGGCAATTAAAATAACAAGAAGATAAAAAAGTAAATAAAATACTTAGTTAACTACCGGTTTGCCTTTAAATCAAAATATTAAGAAGCTAACCTGAAGTTACAGAATTCAAAAGGATAGAAAGCGTAACACATTTTGCAATGATTATACACAAAAAAAAGTAAATAATCATTGGCATTCAAACCTATTATCAGCAGGTTCACTTGCTTAAAGCTTAATAAATTTATTAATAATGGTCACCCAATCCATTAGGTTAGTCCACTTCTTGATCTCCATTTTTCAATAAAGTTAATTACAATCACTAGAAATGTAGGATGATAATTTATCCCATTTCCTTGGTATGTAAGGAAAACATTTGTTGAGAAAGATTCCTTAGAATGTATTGAGGATGATAAGAAGAAGGTATTTCTAAATGTTAAGGTTACGAATTGTGTATATTGTGTCTTAGACAAAAATGAGTTCAATAGACTTTTAGCACGTGAAACAACCCAAGAAATTTGGAGAATCTTAGAAGTAACCCATGAGGGAACCGATTTGACTAAGGAGTTCAAAATCAATATGTTGGTACATGCTTATGAGCTATTAAAAAATATGATGCCTCATGAATTTATCATGAACATGTTAACAAGATTTACAGGCATTGTAAATAGACTCAAATCCCTTAAGAAATCCTGACTAGAGGAAGAATAAAAGAATAATGATTTTAGGATCTCTTCTAAAGGAATTGAAAATTAATCAAAAGTCACAACTATCCAAGAATCAATGAGTTTAAGCTCTATGCAAATGGATGAATTGATTGGATCTCTTCTCACTTATGAGATGAGATTAAAAGAAAAAGAAGAATGGAACTACAATAGAAAGAATGTTTCCCTCAAATATACAACTAAAGAAAGGGAAAAAAATAAATGTTATAGTAATAATGACAAAAAATAGGAAGGTTTCTAAACTTCTTGAAAAACAAAAGCAAAAAGTATATTACAAGAAAGCCTGTAGAAAAACCTATTGCTTTTAATGCAAGGGGAAAGGAACTTTAGACAAGATTGCCCTAATTTGAAGAAAAATTAAAGATAAAAAGAAGAAACACTAAAAGCCACTTCGGATAAGTGAAACTCAAGTGATGATGAATCTGAGTGTGAACAAGCCAATCTTTGCCTTCTTGTACACATAAATTTAAAATGTGACATATACATTTAATATAAAATAAATTTCTAATTAAAAATTATTTTAACTAAGGTTTTAAAATATTTATGGCTAAACCATTATTACTAGCATTATCAAAACCAATAGAAAGAACTTTATTTTTAATACCATATGTAAATTATTTAAAATACTTGCAACAATTGTTGGGTCAATATGTGGACATTCAATTCTTATAAAACTTAAAATTCTTTTGTATAGAAATCAGGATTCATCAATAAAGTGCCCCGTAACACAAATATAGCTAATATTATCTCTGGAACTCCAAATGTCATATATAAATGCCACTCTTGGGCCGTGAATCATCCTAACGTAGCCCATTTGTTCGTGTCATGCCATGCTAGCTAGGACTAGCATGGTGCATTGCTACAATGATTAAGCCATTCATAGCATGACTCATATCGTTTTGACCTAGTTTACTTTATAGGTCTATGCATCACATTTTATTCCACTCAGTAATGAATATGCATCCATATTGATATTGTTACAAAGATCTTACATGAATTAATGACTCATATGAAGAGAGCCTTGTTTTCAGACCACGATGTATAATTTAGACAATTAAGGTTTTCAGAGAACACTGGAGACTAAATACAATTAGGAGTTGATGAACAAGTCCTATAACGATTGTGCCACATAGCATATTTAGCCAGCTCGTGGGCCACTCTATTGCAAACATCAAATGTAGAAATAAGAATATGAGTTGTGAATTGTGATAGAATGGAGTCATTGCAAGAGTATGAGTGAGTTTCAAACCTTCAAAAACTACTTACACTTTTGCTTCTAATGAAGATGATCAATGAATATAGAGAGAATAACTAACAATGAAATTGCATCCATCACCATGAATTACAATGTCAATAGTTGAAGAAGAAAATTTCCAAGCACCATCAGTGTTTATCTTCATAAATTTTCTAAGGTTTCAGCCAACGTAAGGGGGAGTGTAACTCATGCTGTGAAGAAGGATTAGGGGAGAGATCTCTACCATGTCTCTTATAGAGCATAAGATCAGACATGTGTGCATTGATTGAAGAAATGATATGATTAAGGGAGAACAACTTATGTTAAAAATTGACGTCATTTCTCATTTTTTAGATATACCACAAGGTAATTACACCCTTAGCAAATAGAAAGGGGGAATCAAGGTTTCCATGTGAGAGGTCTAGCATGTGTCAATCTTCTAATCACTGATTAAGGGTGTGATTAATATAGAGATCCACTCTTACACCCAATGAGTTAAACCAAATTGGCTGAAGAATTGGGCAAAGAAATAATAGATGATCAATGGATTCAACATGAGAGTTACATAAATGTAAACAACGTTTTTCCAACTAATCATATACAGGAAGAGCACCGATTAAAATTCACCATAAAAAAGATTTAATTCAATGAATTAAATAATTCATTCTCCAAAAGAATTTCCAAATGAAATTTGGGTATACAAGAGAGGCCTAAAAAAGCTTAGAAGCATCTTGACAAAGGAGTTATACCCGAAGTTGCAAATGTATTTACCATGAGGAGTTAAGGCCTAAACCAACATATCATCATCCACCTTAGACAGAGGGGAGTCTCATTAGAAGGACCACAGGAGATATGTCATTGTCAAAATGAGTTTGAATTAACCGTTGGTTTTAGGAATTAGAATCAAATTGAGATCATTTTTACCTTGCAACAATCAATAGGCCAACTTGTAGGTTTGGTGATTAAACTTTGATTTAACCAAGGATCAATGAAGAGAATAGCTTTCCAACCATTGAGGATTAATCATTTGCAACCTTTTAACATGTCATTTCAACAAGCAAGAATACTAGACTAGATAGGTGAGTCATTTTTTCGATGTTGTCATTGCCAGAAGGAGGAACTTCAGAGATATTTGTTTTTCAAAACTTGAACCTAAATTGCATGTTCTTCATGGAAAAAGTACCATGCCAATTTCATTATAAGAGTTTTATTCATTAAAGCCAGATTTT